CCATTACCTTCTTTCATTTTCTCTACAGCTGCAAGCAAAGGTTTTCTGTTGGTTTTCCACAACCACTGGAAGAATGGAAAAAAGAAACTCAGTCCAAGTATTATAACTAATACAAACCTCTTTACCTTCGTGGTTTGATAAAAGAATAGAGAAGTTATCAGAAAGTATATTAATCCAGTGATACTAGATAGCCAAGAGTTGCAGAAAACCACAACCACCATAATTGCATATTATGTCCAACTAAAACCCAAGCAACCATTAAATATTATTTCTCAATTCTCGTATTTAGCAAATTCCAGTGATGGTACAAAACAGCCTATAGCTTATACATTATCATCTACATATTCACTGCCACTGATAAAAATTCTCTCAGTGGCAATTAAAAGTAAAATATTAGTATCAGATAAATTTTTAGCTGTTAACCAAATTAACATGAAACATTCTAGAAATGAGCAAAAATAACACAAAATATATTATTAGCTGATAGAAGGATAACCAGAAGTTATAAACTAGATACCAGTACTTACATTGCTCAGGCGGTGAATTGAGCGTTCCACAACCAAAGAAACAACCACAAATATTGCCAACACGGTAGCAACAGACCATGTTGGTGTTAGTGCCAGTGACCTCAGTTCTTTATCACTACCGGAGTTTTCTGCCATTCTAAGAAACTTTAGTCAGAAACCTCCAAACCTATCTTCCCAAACTAAGCCCCAAAAGAGACCTTCCTCACTCTCTCTCTCTCTCCAACTAATCCCACAAATTTCGTACAGAAATTCAGAAATTATAAACTCAACTATTAAAACACTCTCCCAAACCACATTAATCCAACGTGGAAAGACCAGAAAATCAACAAATTCCGGTCTCCAACATCAAAGACGGTACAGAAAAGGCAAAAATCAGAAAATGGATTCTCCCAATTTAACTCAGACCAAAAAACAAAAACAGGAAGATGACAAATGTAGAAAGGGTGTGGCAAAATGGCTGTTCTTTTGCCAAAAATCTAATAGTCCTGCACAAATCAGGGATTAGCTGACGCAGAAATTTGTTGACTAGAGAAAAACGCCAAAACAAGGAAAGACAATAGAATGATCCAGTCCAGGCTCTACACGAAATAACCAAACTACCTGTTCCTTTATCTTTCACTTTTGCTTGAGAAAGCAAACTACAATTAAACACGAACTTAACTACTCAAGTCAGTATTCAAACAAGAAACCAAACCTCAACAGTATGCAGTTATTACACAACTGCTTCTGTCTCAAGAAAGTTCAAAGCTATCATCTTTTTTGTAGACCCGCTTAGAAATGAGGAACCATTTCCTTCTATACTACTCATTTTTCTCTCATATTTATAGAATCAGGATCTTCTGAAAATGGAAGAAAACATGGGAACTGAATCTTAAGGAACCCACATTGACAGCAGATCTCTATAACAAAAAACAGATTAAATAAACAGAACCCATAACCACTTAACCAGAACTCCCCAATCAAGATAAAACAAGAAAAAAAATTTATCCCTTTTGGAATCAATGGAAACCAGAAGATCTTGGGAATCCTGGAAAAGGAAATAAATGAAGGACTTATGGAAGACAGAGGAAATGCAGAGGGCCCTACTGGGGAAACTGAGAGAGATCTAGTATTCAGACTAGGACTTCTATGCGGTGAAGTAGTATATTTTTCAGTTAGCTTTTCGGATTTTGCATGCCGACTTGCCGATGCTGGCCATATTGTCCTTTGTCTTCCAGTCTACAACGTCAATGGAGTAATTTCCACCTATGGTTTCTCTTCTTCCCTAGACCCCCTTAATCTAGTCCACGTTATTTGGCAATAATATTCATTCATTTACCAAAACAAAAATGTAATTTCGGTATTAAATTGAATGACTCTTCAATACGACACTGTTCATCTTGTTAGCTTCATTTTTTTGTCAAATTTTATTTTATTTCTTATGTTTTTTAACATGTGCCTAAATTTACATTTTTGCCATAAATTTTTTGTAAAAAAGTACAAAAAATTGATATTAATTTTAATATAATTGTCACTTAGATGAATATAATTGAATGGTTAACAAATTCAAAATTAACTTTTTTCAATATAAATTTATTATAAAAAATATTTATTACATTCTTAATTTGTATTTATAATAGCTTAGCAAAATCCTTATTTTTTTGCAAGCAACATGTAAGGGGCATTTGGTGTAACAGTTTGGAACAATTGTTAATGGTTTCATTTAATATAATAAGCAAAAGTATTTAAATTATTAATGACAACAATTATCAACCATCAAATTAAATAAAATTACTAACAATTAGTTTTAAATC